ACCCGTGAGACCCCAGAGCAAGAGGGACGACAGAGGGTCCGCCCCGTGAGACCCCAGAGCAAGAGGGCAGAAGGCCCGTTGAGTGAGCCAAGGAGCAGACACTTGGAACAGCTCCTCCCCTGCTCCTACGAAGGCAGCCATGGGAAGCACACGAGCCAATGAGCGTGGTGGATACAGAGATGGGCAGCAGCGTGGTCTGGGGGCGTGGTTAACCCTGAGCGTGAGGAGAAGCAGAATAGCCAAAGAGAAGGGGGCACAGACTGGGCCGCCACAGAGCTGGGAGGAGGGGTCTCAGAAGGGGAAAGTGAGGAAAGGGTGCAGTGTGGGGTGCAGTGTGGGGTGCAGGCCCACTCCAGTTACTCACTGTGTATTGTGGGTCGTCGGGGTGGACGGCCACAGCCACGTCTCCAGGCAGCGTCTCGGGCCTCGTGGTTCCCACCACAATCTCCATACCTGGAGACAAGCATTCAAGCCCTACAGTCAGCCATCCCCCGGCCTTCCCCCGACACGGGTGGAGCAGACAAGGCCCGGCTGGCCCCATGCTGCCTCCTGCCCCCTTCTGACCAGCTGAAGCATTAAAAACTACACGCTACAGCTACCTTCCTTTGTGCTGCTTTCCTGAGACAGGGCCCAATGTCGCCCTGGCTGGCTTGGAACTTGCTAGGTAGACCGGGTGAGCCCTAAACCTGGAATCCTCCCACCTCTGCCTGCCTCCCAAACACTGTGATCGCAAGTGTGCCATCATTAGTCAGAACTAACCTTTCACCACTTTCCTGAGTGAACCCTAAGTTCCCAAAGAAGAGGACCCCCAGAGTAAGGACCCACAGCAGCGAACCTACCAGGGGTCCCAGAGGCCCAGTATGTGCTCGAGAAAATGGGGAGCAGAGGAAAGAGGGCAACTTTAGGCTGACACTCACCAGGCTCGCCATCCACAGGGAAGGCAACAGAAGCAAGGAGCCCAAAAGACACAGGGGTCGGGCAGCCGGGCAGCTGGAGCACTGTGCGGCCAGGCAGGGGCCGGCTCTCTACCTGGAAGGTTGAGGAGGCAGGTGAGAGAGCAGCCTCTCCGCAGAGCTCACATCCAGGATATCCACCGCCATGTGTCCCGCTTCCCTGGCGTCCACCCAAATCCCATCCAGAGGGCTGGCGAGCCAACGTCCACGGTAAAGTCACAGAGCTCAGAAGCCAAGGCAGCGCACTGCACTGAGCACAAACTCTTGAGTCTTTACAGTGCCCCCGCGAGGCAAGCGCCACCATCTGACTGAGGGGAGCAACAGGATGTCTAGAGCTGAGACAGGCAAACACAGCTGCCGGCGGCAAGGGCCTGACCCCGCCAGCCTGCTTCCCTCCTCTTCCTCACCTCAATGTCTGAGATGGCCGATCTCAGAGTGCACGACCAGTTCACAAGCTGACGGCTCCGGTACAACAATCCCGAGTTGTAGAGTCGCACAAACGCTTCCGTCACAGCTGCCGAGGAGCCCTCGAAGGATGACACCCGACATGCTCCCTCAGCCGAACCCAGAGGTTCCCCTCGTTCCTCTCCCAACACCCTCCCCAGAAAACCCACAGCGACTATAACGTGAACTCACAGCGTCCATGGTGAAACACTCTCGGTCCCAGTCCAGAGAGGCACCAAGAGCGCACAGCTGCTCATAAATCTCCCCTCCTTTCCTGTACCAGAGATTGCTATCGGTAAGTATGACCAGAGCACCTCCCGCACACTAACCAAGGATGCTCACCAATGCTGGGTAGCACGTGGCACTGGCCCAGCAGAGGCTAGAAGCTGATGGAGACAGAACCACACACCCAGGGTGGAGCTGATGGAGACAGAACCACACACCCAGGCTGGATCTGATGGAGACAGAACCACACACCCAGGGTAGAAGCCGATGGAGACAGAACCACACACCCAGGGTGGAGCTGATGGAGACAGAACCACACACCCAGGGTGGAGCTGATGGAGACAGAACCACACACCCAGGGTGGAAGCCTATGGAGACAGAACCACACACCCAGGGTGGAGCTGATGGAGACAGAACCACACACCCAGGCTGGATCTGATGGAGACAGAACCACACACCCAGGGTAGAAGCCGATGGAGACAGAACCACACACCCAGGGTGGAAGCCTATGGAGACAGAACCACACACCCAGGGAAGAAGCGGATGGAGACAGAACCACACACCCAGGGTGGGGCTTTCCACGGCTTTAAAAGCTGCACAGAGGTCTCCGTAGGGGTGTCTAAATTTCTGGCTTCTTTGAGCCATGCAGGATGAATAATTGCCTTGGGGCTACACCCTGTGGTGTCTACACTGTGGCCCCAGATTATGAGGACATGGACATAGACATACATACACACACACAAGCTGCAGCCCATGGGTTGTGAGCGCACACATACATTCATTTTGCACAACACCATAACACAACATTGCTTTTGCACAACATCATAACAAGATACTGCTTTTTGCACAACACCGTAACACGACACTGCTTTTTGCACAACACCGTAACACGACACTGCTTTCTGTACAACACCGTAACACGACATTGCCATCTTGAAAGTTCACATTTGAGGACTGTGCAATAAAGCAAAAGAAAGAAACCACACACACAAAACAAGTCCCCAACGTGTTTTAAATAAGTTTACAATTCACAACTATGCTGGGATGCACGTGGCCCACGGGCCACAGGTTGTGTTGTATATGCCCAGGAACAGTCACACGGTGAAAAACCTAAGAAAGTGAGAGAGACAAAAACATGTGACAACAGATGTGAAGGAGACAGGCCCGGGTGCAAGGGAGAGGATGGAATCCAAGAGAAAATAAGACAAGCAGACAGGATTAAAAAAACAAACAAAAACAAACAAAAAAAACAACAACACAGATACGTGCATAGATCCATAATATACACATACACGATATTTACATTCTGACATAAACACAGCATGCGTCCACACACACGCACACAGAGCTTGGACACCCGGTCCCTCAAACGCTGAGACCCAGAGCTTCTGCCCTGAGGCGGTTTGGAAGAACCGAATGCTACCAGTCAGGAGAAAGCAAAGATTCAGCCAGTCAGTCATGCAAGGGCCCCCGCCATGTACGCGCGTTTCCACTGCCACACGGCCTGGAGGAAGTCTTCCCGGCTCAGCTCGTGTCTCCTCACGCCCTGCTCCTTCCACAGGTGTTTCTCCACCACAGCCTGGAGTGGGATCAGGAGCAGATGAAAAGCTGGTCAGGTGCTTTGGATAAAGACTGCGCCGTTGACCGAGAAAGGGAACCGGGACGAAAGACCCACCTGGGTAGCAATTCCTGCGTGATCTGAGCCAGGGATCCACAGCACGCAATCCCCACGCATCCGGTGCCTGAAACGGAAACACCAGAAGGGGCCCTTGAGTTCACTCACCCTTCCCCTCAGAACTGCGGCCACCCCAAGTCCTCTCACCAGCGCACAAGCGCGTCCTGTATCGCTACTGTGAGTGCGTGACCGATGTGCAGAGAGCCAGTGACGTTGGGAGGTGGGATACACATGGAAAAGGTCTCCCCTGTTGCATGGGGCAGCCGCGCCTAGAAGGAATGAGGAGATCTGAGGCACAAGAGAGGACTGTGTGTTACCTGGAGGGCAACAGCACCCTCTGGTGTGCCCAGGTCAAAAAGAACTTCAGGAGGCCAGGTGTAGTAAATCACACCTTTAACCCTGGCTCTCGGGAGGCAAAGGCAGGTGGATCTCGGTGAGTTTGAGGCCAACCTGATCTACATAGAGACCCTATCTCAAAAAAACAAATCATGATGATGATGATGATAATAGAATTTCATCCAATGTACAGAAAGCAAAAAGAAACCCCTAAAGCAGTCGGGGTCGAAAGAAAGCTGAGCTGTGAAGCTGGCCTGTGCCCACAGAGTTCAAGGGCTGTCCACTCGGTCCCTGGGCCCTCGCAGCCCCGTTCTGCCCAGCACTGACCTGATACTCCGGCTTGAAGAAGCCCTCTCGCGCCCACCACTGGTACCAGGCCGCCTCAACATATCGGGGACTGTAAGCAGGAGGCGGGGGCCCAGAAACATCTGTACAAGCAGAAGAGAGAGCCACTACTGAGCTGCATTTCAGCAGACCACAGAGCAACAAAATCGCAAAAACATAACTACAGTTTACCTTTCTTTTCACCTGGCTCGGTGGGGATTTCATACAGTACTACCTCCTTGTGGCTCCAGGCCTTGGTGGGCACTGCAGGTGACTGTGGGAGGAAATGGGGGGGGGGGGTTGTAGATCGCAGTAAGTACACCACAGTCATCTGGATCCACGCACCAGATCTCCTTCAGTCCCTTCCCAAGGACTGACCCCTGACCTTGCTCGTCTCAGCTAGCCCAGCCTCCAGGGCCGCCTGTTTCTCCCGCAGGCGCTTCTGTTTGGCTTCTCGGTTCCTCCGAGAGAGGGGCGAGCCTTGGAGCTCTGGCTGTGTACACAGTGGCTGGGGCCTGGAGAGACCCCAGGAGGGCCTCAGCACCCAAAGCGGTGGCCGAAAGAAGGCCAGAGGTAAATGAGACATGGGGAGAGTTTGGGAAGAAGTCAGGTGCGCTCATTAAGAGGCCGGGGTGCAGGAGGTCACAGCCCGTCACTCCCAGCCCAGCGGCTGGACCCTCTCACTCTGTCCTTCCGCCTGGGGGCGGAGTGCATGGTGTCAACACCATTCTGGGTCGCTGAAACCTTGGCGTCCAGAAGGCAGGGGCTCTGGCGGTCACCCTGCGCTGACGCGGACACGCGGAAGATTAGTCTGGGGTTCGGAAACCAGGAAACCCCCAAACCTCCAACACGCCACTCTATCCTGAACTCCGCAGCGGATTCGGCGTGCGGACAGGCAAGCCGCCGAGTGTGCGCACGCGCGCAGGGGCGGGGCCACGCCGGCGCGTGCGTAGAAGACGCTCGCTCCGAGGGTTTACTGTGTAGCCGTGGGTACCACCACCTCGGATGGGAAAACGCGGACAGGTGTCCGGAGCCGCTTAGCTTTTTCCTTAATTTTATTAAACAAGAAATGTCCTGGTGTGTAAACAAAATACATCTGAGTTGGAAAGCTGCCCTCCCGCTCGTCCGTTCGGGCCCAGATCCGGCCGGCTCAGGAGCTGTGCTTCTGCCGCTTCCAAAAGCGCTTGACGTCGCTGTGCCCGGACGGCGTCACCACCATCAGCCGCTTGGCCGAGTTCTCGAAGACCAGCACGCCCAGCTCCCGCGCGTGGGCCAGCAGCAGCTCAAAGTCCACTTGCGACAGGAACTGGTTATACAGGACGCCTGAGGTTGGGTGGGACAGGCAGGAGGTGAGGGGCTGCAGTGGCCTCGGCCCCTTCGGGCAGCATCAGGGCAGAGGCAGCAGACCAGAGTTTTAAGAACGAACTCGTGCCATCCAGACGTTCGAAAAGACAACGGAATACCACAAGAAAAACCATGCAAACCTACTCAGGGCGATGACTGAATGACCCTGCTTCTTACCCTCACCTAGATAGCTTAACCCAAACTGCACTGAATTGGGACCTATTTCCTGCTACCAATAAATATATCAAAATAAAGGATCAGCTTTCCTTTCCCTCTCTGTGAAGGAAACAAATAAGAAATGCCCGAGACCCTTTTCATTCACCATGGCCAAACTGCTGGCCTTGCCTCTTAGATCAACAGAAGCAACGCACCTTCAGTGAAACGAAGTCTGTCCCTCTCCAGCTCCCACAGCCGAATCTGGTCTGTTATGGTGGGAGGCAGCACAGGAGTCTGCAGGAACAAGGGTGGGGCTATAGGACCCAGGGCAAGAGCCCAAAGCAATCTCTGTGGTTTAGATGCCTCTTTCCATCCATCCTTCCGTCGCTAGGTGCCCAGACTGCCAGCCTCCAGCATCTTGGTACCCCACCCACCCATACCTGTTTGAGCATCACTGGATGGGCCCTTGTCCTTAGGAAATGGATTATCTAAGAAAACACAAGAATGCAGAAAGCCGTCTGAGCGGTCTCTCACTGAAACAGCATCTCTTGCACTTGCTAGCCACGAGCCAGACAGAGCTGAAGCTATGCTTCCATGACAGGAAGACCTTGTCCCCCATCTCCCGACCTCCATTCCAGGTAGGGATACCTGCTGGGCTGTGATGCCACTGGCAATGGCCTGCTGCACGCTCTCCCGGGTCACCTGTGCCACCACCATGTTGGGGAACCGATACAGCATCTCAGAGAAGAGGGCGATGAGAGCGATCTGCAGCTCCGACTCTGGCCAGGGATGAAGAGGAATGAGGAGGTGCCCACTCCTGCCTCCCTCTAGCCCTGCCCTCGTGTGTTAGACAAAATACCAGAACGCTCCTAACCATAAACATGGCATAACTGGAATCCCTCCTGCGTCTCCCCTCCACCTCCATCCAGCCTCACCGGTATAGGCATACAGTCGGTAATTGGTTTCCACGACAATGAAGCCCGGCTGGTGCACAGTGCCCCCAGCCCCAGAGACGCCAGACGAGAGGTTGATGGCTAGGCGCGTGGGGTAGTAACGCCGGGACTTCCTCTGGAAGGGCACGGGGAAATAGGGTCCTCTGTCACCACCCTAGCATCTTCCTGATAGACAGATCCCCAGGTTCAGGGTGCAAAACCAACCCTGAACTTCCCCCCCAAATGACCCAAGCACTCAGTCCTGGCAAGAGCTTTCTGCACCCCAATACCCTACTCTCCTAGAAGCCAGGTAGCTGGGTGTGCGTACCTTCCTCTGGAAAACGAGTCCGAACTCACGCAGGTGTTGCAGGAAGTTCAACAAAGAATCACTCATACCTTCTACGGAGTAGTCCTGGGGAAGAAACGGCCAGCGAGGGCTGGGCACACAGCCCACCACTGGCCACCCAGCCCCTGCACCGCCCACCTCATGCCTTCTCAGGCACTTCTGTGGTCATTCTTACACTCCACTTCTCCATAACCTCTCTTTATCTCCCTGTCCTCCAGCCCCTACTTACCTTGCCCAGAGTAGAGAAACTGAGCTGGAAGAGGAAGGAGAGAATCTCCACTAGGTCCATGCCCCGACTCTGAGGAGAAAGGGGAGGTGAGAGAGGATATGAGGCAGAGTGGCAGGAAGAGGGGGTTAAGGAGTGCAGTCTAGGGACCAGAGGAGAGCGGACACATGGTCATCGGCCCAGGCTCTTACCTGCGCTGTCTGCAGATACTGCAGCATGAAGTACCAGAGCTGGGCAGACGTGTCCAGCAGCAGGAATTGGAAGCCAGCAGAAGTGATGCAGGGCGGCTCTCCAGGTTCAGCGCTAGAAATGGAGGGGCTGATGGTAACAGCACGCAGAGAGGGGCTGCCTGTTTCTTATACCTACTCAAACCTCTTTCTTTTCAATCCCTCCGAGCACTGGACACCCACTTTATCTGAGACCCAATGAGCAGGGAGCTGCTGTATTCTGTCCTCCTCACCTTTTCATAAGCCCAGCCTGGCTGAGGAGCTGGGCCAGGTCCTGGCTGACGGCTGCACTGGGGGAGCCTACCATGAAGTGCAAGACCACCTAGAGACAAAGGGGTCAGACTGGCACTCAGGGCTCCAGGGATGGGGGCAGAGCAGAGACAAAGGGGTCAGACTGGCACTCAGGGCTCCAGGGATGGGGGCAGAGCAGAGACAAAGGGGTCGGACTGGATCTCAGGGTTCCAGGAATGGGGCAGAGCAGAGGCACACAGAGGCCCGGTCCTCACCTCCCAGCGCTCCTCGGCGTACTTGTCGAGTGAGGGGACGTCCCGGGCGTGCTTGTCTGGTCCCAGCTGACTTGTGTCATCAGACCAGGCCTTGCCCCTGCGGCCAGCCAGGATGAGTAGGAGTAAGGAGCCCTGTCTGCTTCCCCACGGACCACAAGGAGGGGGCATTTCCTACACCCTGCACCAAGGGGGAGGAGGCCTCTCAGGGGCTTTTCCTCCATCGCTGCCATCAGCAGTTCCCCTGCCCTAGCTCAGGAAGAGAGGGAAATGACATACCCACCCAGAAGGGCAATTCGGAGGTTCTGGCGGAAGATGGGGTTGAGGATGAGGCCCTGGAGTCCACCAGGGAGCAGCTGCGTATGCCAAATGCGGAGGCCACTAAGGAGCCCTGTACTCTCCTCCTGAGCCCTGGACAGAAGCAGAGGCAAGGGGCGTGTTACGGGCAGAAAGAGACCTCCAGGGGTTCCATTTCTACCTTTTCTAAACTGGCAGCCCTTGGAACAGTGTCCCAGAATGAAGCTGTGTTTCTAACTACAGCGCTAAGTAGAGCCTAGTTTTTCTTTTTCTTTAAGACAGGGTTTCTCTTTAGCTTTGGAGACTGTCCCAGAACTCACTCTGTAGACCAGGCTGACCTCCGCCCCAGAGATCTACCTATCTCCTGAGTGCTGGGATTCAAGGCGTGTGCCACCACCACCTGGCTTGTTTTCTCTTCTTTTAATCACTGTTTGTTTCTCTGTTTAATTTTCTAAGTTAATCCCTTTTTTCTCTTTTTTTCCTTCTTTTGTTTTGTTTTGTTTTGTTTCTGAAAGGGTCCTATGAAGCTGGGGACAGCCTCAGACTCACCGTGGAGCCCTTGAACTTCTGCTCTTCCTAGCTCTCCCTCCCAACTCTCAGGACTGCTTCTTTCTTTTCTTTGCTCTCTTTTTTAAGTCAGCATACAACCAGTTAGTTACAGAAATCACAACCTCCAAAGGGGAAACCATTGCAAGTGTACTCTTGGAGGGTATTCGCCGTGCGGGGCAGAGCCTGCGGAGAGGCCCGCGGTTTGACGCCTAGCTTCCTGTGTTTCCTAGCGGTGCAGTTTGAGAATGCAGCCGCTGGGCAGCCGGCACGGCCGTGCTCAGGACTCACTTGCTGAAGTCTTTCTTCACCCACAGGGCCACTGCAGCCTGCGGCAGAGGCTGCTCCAGAAAAAGCATCCGCATCACCCAATTCTTCGCCAGAGAAGGGAGCTCCCTGAAAGGTTCAGAGGCCAAAGGTTACCAGAAGCTGCCTCACGCCTGCACCTCGGCCCACATCTGCCTCTGGAACGTCTCACCCCACCTCCCACCTCTTTACCAGTCCCACTGCCCCCACACTCTGTTTTGCATTGCCACACCATGTGGTAATGTCTAACGCGCCGGTGCTCACACTAAGCTAAACCTCTCCCCATAAGATTCCAGTCTGCAGGCCCCGTTACATTCCCCAAACCACGGTCCTTGCTTTGAGAGGCTCTCACCTGAAGACAGCCAGACAAGTGGCTGGGTGCCCATACAATCGGTCCAGCACCCCAGGGCTCAGGCCCCCTAAGAACTCCTGTAGATTCCTACATTGTAGGTGTGCTCGGTTCAGTCCACCCCTTGCAGGGGCGCTCTCCATCACCTGAGAGGTACAAACATCAGAGGTACTCCCCCACGATCCAGGCCAGTGTCGCTCTGCCTTCAGATCTATCAGGTCCACCATCACCCACCATTTCTACACCTTCCTCCCTGGTGCTACTCATTCCTTACTTCTCCCAAACCCCTCATGTTCCTGCTTCTTCATCAAACAGCCCAGGATCACCTTGAACTTGCTATGTGGCCAAGGATGGCTTTGAACACCTGATCCTTCTGTATCCACCTTCCAAGTGCTGGGGTTACAGGAATGTAGCAATGCTGGCTTTTCATTCCATATCTCCCCTAAAGTTAAACCTTCTCTCAGCCTCCAACTGGTGGGATTATTCCCACTTTTGTGTGTGGCCCCGAGGATCATGTCTAGATCCTCACCAATGTGGCCAGGTGACAGAATCATTTATTGTTCCATACTTGCAAAAGAGTTTTGCATATTATCGTAGCAGTGACAAAGATGCTTATTTGAACCCAGCCCTCTCTCTCCTCCACCCTCCTGGTCAGATCGGTCTACAAGCTCCAAATCTGTCAAGTCCTTAGCTCTCATCTGGAGACCCGGCTATAAACTACCTTCATGCTGATATCTCTTTTCTATCTCTTTTCCCCCGCGCCAGCCTCACCCTCTCACCGTCCCACACCGTCCGAGCTCCTCACTTCTTCCTGGCTTTCCTTTCACGCCACCTCTAGCTTAACTCTCTCTCCCTTTATCTCTCTCATATCGCCCCCTCGCCACTCGGATCCCCCTCGCATACCCCGGGTCACGAGCCGTTGCTTAATCAGAGCCAATGTCTCGCACTGGCTGAAAATAAAGGATGAGAAAACGGTGGGAGAACCACGAAGTCTTCCACAGACAGGAACCAGCCAATAACCAGTCCAAAGGGTAGGGAGCGCAGAAAAAGTGTGAAGAGTAAAGGGGATGAGAATAGGCAATGCACTCGCTTGCCGCGTGGCGTGTTGGGAATTGTAGTCCTCTCATTGCCCGCATTGTAGCATCGTGAGGACGGTTTGACTACAATTCCCGAAAGGCACCGCAAGACTACCAGCCGAGAGAAGCTGGTTTTTCATTGAATTCCCTAAGAACACCCTACGACAGACCATTTAGTTCCACTTCTCTCTTTCCCTTGCCTCTAAGAGTCCTTGTCCCGCCCAGACAGGAGGCGGCAACCAATCTGGAGATGCTCCCGAGGCCTCCAATCAGAGGCCCGCTGAGGCCGCTCAGTGGCCAAGTGTTGGATTTAGAGACCTAAAAACTGGGTTTCTTGACCTCTGCTGTTCCCCACGAAATTGAGATAATGTACCGCGCAGAGCATTTTCACGAGGCGAGGATTAACACATTCCAGTTCACATTCCAGTTCGCCCTTATTTGGCAACTAAATGCTTAATCTTAATCTCTTCCTCCAGATTCCCCCTCCAGCTCTTAAACAGTTGGAAGACTCCATTACAATTTTTTTTTTTTTTTGGTTCCTGTCCTGGAACTAGCTCTTGTAGACCAGGCTGGCCTCGAACTCACAGAGATCCACCTGCCTCTGCCTCCCGAGTGCTGGGATTAAAGGCGTGTGCCACCATCCGCCCAGCTCCATTACATTTTTTTTTTTTTCCGAGACGTGGTTTCTCTGTGGCTTTGGAGCCTGTCCTGGAACTAGCTCTGTAGACCAGGCTGGTCTCGAACTCACAGAGATCCGTCTGCCTCTGCCTCCCAAGTGCTGGGATTAAAGGCGTGCGCCACCATTGCCCGGCTTCCATTACAATTTTTAAAAGAAAGCTGCCATTTGCTCTGATTTGGTTGATGAATTTACTGGAGAGAAAGGTAAGGCAAGGGAAGACATCCACCAAGGTCAACTATAATTTCTCCAGTTCTTATGAGTCAAATTCTGATTTTTGGTCTTTTGTTTGTTTTTTTGGTTTTCTGTGAAACCCTGGATGTCTGGAACATGCTCTGTAGACAAGCCTGGTCTTCAACCCAGAGATCCTCTTGCCTCTGTCTCCCAAGTGCTGGGATTAAAGGCGGGCACCACCACCACCCGGCTTAAATTCTGTTATTCTTACATCACAGAATACCAAGCCCAACAAGAATAAGGAATTTGCACAAGAGATCCGCAGTGCTGGGATAAGAAACACATTTACAAAGGACAAAAGATGGCAGGACCATGTAAGACTTTGTTATGACTTATTATGCCCACTATTTGCCAGTCGGTATCTACAATTAGCAGAGCATCACGAAGCTGACAGCGCTTTTCAGCACACGGTACAGTGTTTGTATATTTCAAACACAAGAGTCACAGTCTGGGAATAAATGTTGGGTGAAATGGGCAGAACTGAAAGAAAGCACCTCTTATGGAGCAATTAAAAAAGACAACAAGGGCTGTGAGGTGGCTCAGTAGGTAAAGACTCGCTGTGCTCACCGGGTGACCTGACTTCTCCGTGCATGCCATGGCAATATGAAGCCCCCCCCCCCCACACCCGCCTTTGCCCTCCTGCACTCACAGGAATAATGAATGAAGTCATTTGACATTGTCTTGTTTGTCAATGTTAAAGTAAACTCTGTGCCAGCCCCTCCTCCCTTGTTGCCGTTAACAAACTCATTCGTTCACGATGACCTTCATCCTGATAGCAGGGGGAAGGCAGTTTCTAAACATAAAATGACCTTGTCTAGAAACAACTCCAAGAAGAGAGACCGAAGGCTTGCACACAGCCCCAGAGGTGGATTTAACTTCCCATTCCCCAGACCTCCTCTATAAAGCCCAAGCATCCCTTTCGTCTTTGGCAGACACCCCCCTTACTGCCATGTCTGCCCCTCTATGTTTGAAGTAAGCACTTCAGTCTGCTGAGGTCCATTTCTGCCTCCTGTCTCTTTAAGATGCTTCAAAAATCTAATAGTAAAATAAGGAAAGAAGAAACATACTAGATTAGCAAAAGAAATACCAAGCAATAGTAAGAAATCCCATCTTGTAAAGAGATGGGAAAGTTTTGATTTGCAATTAAAGGTGGTGGAAGGAATGCAGACTGGAGAGGGAAAAAGAAAAGAAGCAAAAAGAATAAAAACAACACCGGGTGGTGGCGCACGCCTTTAATCCCAGCACTTGGGGGGCAGAGACAGGCCGATCTCTGTGAGTTCGAGGCCAGCCTGGTCTACAAGAGCTAGTTCCAGGTGGTAATGCTTGCCTGGAATCTCAGCCTTCCAGAACCGGAGGCAGTAGGATTAGGAATTTACAGTTTGCCTGTTTTTTTGTTTTGTTTCTTGAGTCAGGGTCTCTTTATGGCTGTCTTGTAACTCTCTCTGTAGGACAGCCTGGCCTTGAATTTACAGAAATCTGTTTGACTCTGCCTCCTGAGCATTGGGACTAAGGTGTGCTCCGTGACTGCTCCTGACCCTCCTGCCTCCACCTACCCACCCAGTGCAGAATTACAGGCCCATAACGCCACACGTAGCTTTGTTCTTTTTCTTTCTTGCTAAGATTTGGTTGCTTCTTTAATTTCAGTTTTATTTATTTATTTTGGTTTTTCGAGACAGGGTTTCTCTGGAACCCCACGGGCTGAAGAGCATTGGTGGAGATCTGGTCTGACCAGAGGAGATTGCTGAAGGCTAGCAACACACAAAACCCAGGGAACAGTTTCTGGACAAAGGCCCCGTGTTAGGAGGGTCTGTGGCTGAAAAAACGGTGGTGTGTGCAGGAGAGTGTGCTAGCCCAGAAAGTCAGCCCTGGACAGAGCAATCGGAAATGGACTTGGTGGAACACTTCTACTATAAGCTTTCAGGAGACTGAGGCAGGAGGGTTGCTAGTAGTGAGATTCTTATAGCAAACAGCACAGGCCTTTAATTCCTGAACTCAGGAGGCAGAGGTCCATAGATCTGAGTTCAAGGACAACCTGGTCTACATAGGGAGCCAGGCCAGTCTTGGCTACACAGTGAGACCCCATCTGAATAAAGCAACAGAAAGATCCACAAAAGCGACTAGGGGTACAGCTCAGTGGGAGAGAGTTCGCCTAGCGTGTGCAAGACCCTGGGTCCAACCCTGGCATTGTACTCATCACCATTATCGTCATCACACATACATAAACATAAAATAAAATATAGTAAAAAACAATTTAAAGGGGCTGGTGAGATGGCTCAGAGGTAAAGGCAGTTGCCACCATACCTGCGTTTTCTACCCAGGACCCACATGGTGGAGCTAGAGAACCAATTCCTGCAGGTATTCTCTAACCTAGACACACACACACACACACACACACACACACACACACACGCATGCACACATACACACAGACGCACAAACACGCATGCCCACACATGCATACACAATTCCGCACACATGCACGCACACTACATAGATTTAATATGTAATAATTTTTGAAATACAAGCTACAGAGGACCCGGCACAGAGTTGTGTGCCCGCAACTCCAGCACCTGGGAGGTAAAGGCAGAGCATCCCATCTGGATTATTCTCTGTTCCACAGCAAGTTTAAGACAAGTCTGGGCCACATGAGACCATAAGATCCAGCCTCAAAACAAAGGTCACTGTGGCTGCAGAACTAAAAACAAACCGGAGAGGGACAGAAGCGGTCCTGGGTGACTAGCTAGGACACGCCAGTGTAGCAGCCTGTGCCCGGGCAGGGGAAATGTCGAGAAGAACGAAGATCTGGCAGCGGACCTATGAGCTGCGCACTGGACTGGACTCAGCATGGAGGAGGATCGAGGGTGCCATTGCTGCCACGGTGGGAGAGTGGCAGGTTTGGACACGCTGTCCTGATCTTCACAGGAGCCAGAGTTACATAGTTCCAAAGCTTACTCAAAGCAAGTCTGGGCACAGAACCCTGGGAGCAATGGCTCCCTGCCAGGAATTCCATTGCTTATTATTCTAACGTCTGACCTCTGAACTCTAACCCATCAATGTCTGTCTTAATCGTAAGGCAGTAGCCTGACCTCCGCAGCTTTAACAAGACTGTTAGATTTGTGACCTGGGCCCTGAGAGCCCATTAATCCAGCCTCAGATTAAATTATCTTTACTGTTGTCCTCTCATTATCTGTTTGGCTCACTTTGTGAATATCGTCAGCCAAAACCCCAGGGTCCTTGTTTCACAGAAATGGCTGTGAAGATGGGGCTGCTTTCTCCAAACCTGCAACTCGATTGTTTTTTCCTTGCTTCCCAAAATGAACTCTCAAGCTTGCCCAGTGACTGCAGCTTGTCCTTGCAGGCCTGAGACATCCAGGCTCATAGCTGTGGCTTCCACCAGACAACTCACGGGCAGGAGTCATGAGCATGCTCCCAAAACCAAACCCAGAGATCACCTGGGTCTCCCCAACCCTTGGGATCCGAGAATTGGACAAGGAAAAGAAATCACACCGTTATTTTGGATACCCTCAACCCAAAATCTATGGGGAGTGAGAGAACTCCTGGTGGCTTCTGAGGTAGCTGTTGACTACCACCGATCAACACCACTGGTTTTTCTTTTTTTAATTTTCGTTTTTAATTTTACATATCAATCCCAGATCTCTCCTTCCCTTCCCTCATCCCACTCCCCCACCACCTTCTCCTCACCCCACCCACCACTTGCTCCTTAGGGTATGGCCTCCCATGGGGAGTCAAGGAAGTTTGTCCCTTCACCGCTTTGAGGTCTGACCAAGGCACTCCTCCCCTACTCCCGTGTCTAAGCTGAGAAGGTGCCCCTCTCCCACCCCCAACGCCCCCTCTCCCCCTGTGTCTAAGCTGAGCAAGCTGCCCCTCTCCCACCCTCCCACCCCGTCTAAGCTGAGCGAGGTATCTCTCCATAGGAAATGGGCTCCCAAAAGCCAGTTCCTGTACTCAGGATAGATCCTGGACCCACCGCCAGTGGCCTCATAAACTGCCCAGTCCACTGTCACCTGCATTCGGGGGGTCTAGTTCGGT